GGGGCCCCCCAAAGCGCCCCCGCCCCCCCAGAGCAGCCCCCCCAAAGGGCGAGGGGGAGGCGCCGGGGATCCCCCCGCGCTGGGAACGGGCCCCCCCTACGTCATCTGCTCCTAAACGGGGGGCTGGTGATGTCACGGTGATGTCACGGGGCAGTGACATCATTGTTGGGGGACACAACGCGGTGACGCCACAGGGAAGGGACACGTGATGTCATGGAGGGGACACGATGCTGTGACATCACAGGGAAGGGACAAATGACATCATGACAAAGGGGAGGTGTGTCATGGTGACGTCACATGTGATGTCACGGAGGGGACACGACAGAAGGGACGTGTTACGCTGACATGCCGCAATGTCACGACGGAGGGAACGCGTCATGGTGATGTCACGCAGAGGCGCAGTGATGTCATCTCAGAGGGGACGTGACGTGTCACAGTGACGTCACACGGAGACCCCTGAACACGAGGACACAGAGGGGACATGTCACCTTGTCACACATCGACACGGAAGGGACGTGGCACAGGGACACAGCGTGATGTCACGACAGAGGGGACGTGTCACAGTGACATCACCCGGAGATGCAGTGACGTCATCACGGAGGGGATGCAACACATCATGATGATGTCACACAGAGACCCCGGGACACGAGGACATGGAGGAGACACGTCACCTCGTGACACAACAATGAGAGAAGGACACGTGACGTCACGTGTGTCATCAGCGGCATGTGACGTCATGATGGAGGGGACACGTCACGGTGACATCACACAGCGACGCAGTGAGGTCACCACAGGGGGACACGTGACAGGGACACGTGGGACAGCACAGCCCCCAGCTGGGGACACTTGGGGACACTGGGGGACCCCGGGAGGGGCGGGGGGAGGGAACACTCAGGGACACTGAATTTCCTGTGCTTTGGGTTTTTAATGTTTTTATACTGGAAATGGACAATAAATGTACAGTAAATACACAATAAACGATGGCTGGCCCCACCCACTGGGGGGAACTGGGAGCGCTGGGATGGGTGACTGGGGACACTGGGGGTACTGGGACAGGGGGAGATACCAGGAGGTAACTGGGAGAGCACTGGGGCACATTGGGGGGGCAATAGGGACACTGGGAGGGCACTGGGGAACACCAAAGGGTAATAGGGAGAGCACTGGGGGCACTGGGGAGACACTGGGAGGAACTGGGAGCGCTTGGAGCAGCACTTGGGGACACGTGGGGCCCTGAGGGGTGGCGGGTGCTCAGGAGCTGGTGGGGGGGGCTGATAACCCTTATCAGGAGCCCCCAGATGGCACTGAGGGGGCCCAGTGGACACCTGGAGCCCTGTCACCGCCTGTGTCCCCACGTCACGGGGGACGGTGGCAGGGCCACCCCAAAACGTTCAGGGACAGGGTGACGTTGGGTTTGTGTCACCTGCGGGGGGGGTGACATCAGTTCCATGTCACCCATTTTGGGGGTGACATCAAGTCCTTGTCACCCACCAGGGGGGTGTGTCAAATCAGTCCATGTCCCCCGTGCCGGGGGGGTGTCATCCCCACTCCTCCTCCGGGTCACTGCCCCCCTCCTCCTCCTCCTCCTCTTCCTCCTGCTCCTCCTCGCCCCCCTCCCCCTCCCCGTGGGGGTCCAAGCGGAGCCTCCAGCGCCGGGGGGGCCTCCCAGGGCGGCTCAGCCGGACCCCCACGAGCCCCCCGGGCCGGGGGCTCAGGAGGCAGCGGGCGGGGAAGAACCTGCGCAGGGTGGGCAGCACGTGTGGGGCAGGGGGGGGCAGGCGCAGAGCCGCCACCACCTGGGGGGGGGGTCGGGGGTGGCCCCGGGGGCCGGGGGGGTGGGTGGTCTCCAGCAGCAGCGCGGCCAGGCGGGCGCAGCCCCCCGGGGACTCCCCCAGGTACTGCTCGAGCCCGTCCAGCAGCAGCAGGTCGGGGGGGCGAAGGGACAGAGCACCCAGTTCACGGCACAGGGACCCCCGGGAACGGGGGTAACGCAGCTCCAGGCGCTGGGGGGCAGAGGGTGGGTACAGAGGGGGAACAGGGGTCAGGACAGGCCCCCACGCGCCCCCCAAACATGAATGGGGGCACACAAAGCCCCGCCCACACATGTGCCCCCGCCCACTCCGCATTCCCCGCCTACCCACAGGAAACCGCGCCCACCCTCAGAAAACCCCCTTTCAGAAAACCCCGCCCACCCCCGCAAACCACGCCTACTCTAAGCAAACTCCACCAACCCCCGCCCCCTTAGCAAACACCGCCCCTCCATCAACCCCCGCCTCCCCGCAAACAACCCCACCCCCAGCGCCCCTCACCTGCAGCGCTCTGGGGTCCGTGCCTGTTCCGCCGCCGCCGTTCGGGAGCCGCGGGACCGCGCTGGGCGCCAGGAACAGCGCGCGGGGCCCATGGGCGCCGCCCGCCAGCGCCGCCTGCAGCAGCAGCGCCGTGCGGCCCGAGCCCGCCGGGCCCAGCACCAGCACCGGCTCCGACACCTCCGGCACCTCGGGCACCGGGCCCGTCCCGGGCCCCGCCGAGCCCAGCGCCCGCTCCAGCGCCGCCGCCATCGCGCGCGGGTACGGCGGCAAAGGGCAATCAGCCAATCAGCTGCGCTTCTCGGCCGCGCTCGGCCAATCGGAGATGGGCTTCCCCTCGGCGCGGTTCCCGCCACGGCGGATCGGCCAATCCGATTACAGATTCGCTCAGCCCTATTCCCGCCCACGACGGTCGCGCGCACCTCAGCCAATCAGGGTGGAGCTCCCCTCGGCGTTGTTCCCGCCCACCGCCTCTCAGCCAATCACGACGGATCTTCCCTCAGAGCCCCTCCCACCGCCCCGCTCTAGCGCGGTTTCCATTGGCCGTTCGCGCCGCCAATCCGGCACTGCACCGTCTCCTAGTGACAACCATAGCTCCGCCCCTTTCCGTGCGGCGGGGCGCGGCCAGGCGGAGCTGTCCATCACTCATCGGACACGCCCACTGACACGCCCACGGAGACACCCGGACACGCCCATCCTCGTGCAAGTCCACCCTCGTGTGCACACGGACACACCCACGCCGGTGGGAACACACCCTTGTGCAAACCCGTCATCGTGCACACACACCTGTGCTCACTCACCCTGGGCACACTCACACACGCGTGCTCTGAACATGCACAGATACACACACACACACGTGTGCACACACGTGTGCACACACCCTGGGCACACGCACACACACGTGTGCTCTGAACATGCACAGACACCTGCACACACACACACACGTGCATGCCCACACTCACACAAGTGCACATTCAGTCACACACGTGTGCTCTGAACCTGCACACACATGCATCACACACACACGTGTGCACACTCACACACACACGTGTGCTTTGCACATGCACAGACATACATGCACACACACACGCGCACACACATGCACACACACGTGTG